CCCACACTAGGTACCCCATCGTATAGTATAGCGGTATACTAGTACAGTTTTTATTTTGTCACAAATAGAGATGATTTTAATGAAATCGATTTTGCCGCAAATTCAAATTCCCCATCATATGCAGATCTTAGTATCTGATTGTTTGTCCTGGGTAGATATTTAATATAATTTACGATAAAATTAGCAAATACCTACTATTATAAGGTATTATTAATCTTTAAAAACTAATTTGAGCCTGGAATTCTATTAAATAGTATTGCTAAATTCTAATTAAGTACTAGCCAAGGCGAGCAGAACTCAAACTAACAAAACCTAGTATTAATAAATCTCAGATGATAGTTCGCACAAAGTTTTCAAAAGAAAAGTCATGAAGAGTTCAGAAATATTTATGAGAAAGAAGTTGCTTTATTTCAGTTACTATTAGAGGAAAGTATCGAAATGAAATCTGTACGATCGATTTTATCAGTGCTGTAAGTGATTCGGTTATTTTTTAATATGATTTTCCTACTATAGGATGATCAGCTAAGAAATCCTGAAATTATTGCTGAATTCCTTTGTCGATTTTATAAACGTATGGTTCGTGTTGAACCAATGGATTCTACGAAGCGATTTTTTCGAAAAATATTTTCAAAAATACTCGAAGGTTTGTTGTGGATGAACAACAAAAGTTTCGTATTTCAATATTTACATGTATTTAGATTCAAAGAAGTCATCGAATGCCAATCCTTTAGATAATTTAAATGAAGTAACAAAAAAAAGTCAAATTTGCTTTTCTAATAGTTTAACTTTTATTTATATTTTTCAAAGGAAATGTTAACAAAAATCATAAGTCAAATTCATTTTATAGTTTTAAATCCAGTCTTATCATTGATGTACAATGATGGGTAATATTTATCAATGATTTTATTCAAGCTTATTTTTTGGTTTGTTTTTTTATTACTTACATAGTCTTTTTCTTGGTACATGCAATAGTACTGACGTGGATAAAATGTTAAATGGTACTCAACAAGAACCCCATTTGTTATTGCGCTTTAACAATGTAATGAATCATCATTGGAATGCAAATCCCACTGTTAATTGTATTATTCATGATGGTAGAGATGAAATTTGTGTTTTGTTTCTAGAAGATTTATATTTATTCTATGTATAGGCTATCTAAGAAAGGCAAGCTTTGATATGAAAACATTTGCCAATGAATTGTGTAGGTTCATATGTGAATCAGTAAACAATACAACGAAAAAAGCAATTGTCTTTTCTGCAGAATCACCTCATCATTTCGCAGATTTTCGTTTGTATTTTCGTGAGTTACTTCTTTCCTTCCCATGCCATCGATATTAGAGGATTTTATTCAGATAATGAATTGAATCGATTGAATAAAATGTCCTCTTTAAGTAGTGATAAATATGACCCATTGCTACCCGTTCTTTGGATGACAATGTAAGAACCGAATAATAAAATTATCACATTTTCTCGAATATAACTAATTGTAGGCGACAAAATGGTGATAAGGATGTTTCCAGGATGGAGATCACTTCTGATAATTCAACTCCGACAGTAAAAAGACATCGTTCCGGTTCGTCGCCATTCACAGAACCTGTTGCGTCAGTTTCCTCCGTGAATACGATAAGTATTGTTGTAAATTTGGATAACAAAGATGAAACTTCATTCGATTCCTCAAATAATTTATCACCAAGTTCTCATAATTCCATGTTACCTGATTGTAGTAAGATGACAGAAATTGCATTTGACGTATCCTATAAAGAAATTAATTTTTATTTCTTTTCAGCTACTAGTAGCTCATCGACGACCATAACAGATGAAGCTTGCCAATCCAATAGTCATGAGACTACTGCAAAGACTCGACAGTTTATAATTGAAGTACCTGGAGATATAGAAATATCTCCGGCAGTATTGTTTCGTCATTTGGCAGAAAAATTTTCCAATTCATCAAATCATAAAAATGATGTTACACTTTCCGACTATCTTATTCTATCAAAACAATCACATCCAACATTATCACATGTTATTTCTATAACAGATTCTAGCAGCAACAAATCTCATTTTATTCATTCCATCAATAATCTTCATTCATCTTCTGACGTAAGATGTTTGCTTTTTGTTTGCATACAAAACAAAATTGTACATTTTTCATTTCTATATTTTAGCAGATGCCTAAAATCGAATCGACTTCACTACTTGATCTTATTCCTGATGATCCGACAAGCCCGTTAGCTATCAAAGAAGAACCGCGGGACGATGACTGTATTGTTTAATATATAAATAATGAAATATGAATAAATTGCTTTTTATGGTGTTTTAGTAATATACGTATTCTATTTTAGAGAGTGTTAAAAATTATACAATTGTCTTCTCAAAGTTCATCCTTGTGCTGTATGTTTTGGTTACATGATAATCTTATTCTTGATTTCAACGAATCATTTTTGAACATTTACATAGTGATCCATCGTTCAAACCTTGACATAAAACAATAGTTTCTAGGCAATCTAAATTCACAAAAGAGACATCAGATGATTTGCGGCGTTCATGTAACTATTTCTATCGCCAATATGCCACTTGTGATTACTTTAAATAACACTTCGGAAAAAATCAAAGAATCTTATCTTCTATCAAAATCTAAATAGAAAGTGAATTCTTAACGTATGATCTCATGATTGAATTCTATATTCTTAGTCATACCCTACTATTTTAGCATATCTCTTTTAAATGCTTTTAAATGGGCTCTAATGATTTTTTATATCTTATCAGGTTCTTTAAAGCAGAGCTGGACAAATACAGATTTTCTCGAGTACGAGTATCCATACCATGGTATCGGTAAGACTAGAATTTTTCAAATTAGTTTCTACGAAAAATAGACTGAATGTTTTACAACGTACTGTATATACATGTCAAAATAAAATAAAGGGTGATCCAACCCATGTCGCACAAACTGATCGAGAAATTCCGGTTAACCGCACAAGTAGTCGGTTTGCCCTCAATTGAGGTGCTCCCCCTCAGAAAATCGATTTTGAGATAAGCACATATACTGAGACCCCAAAGTGTCCTCTTTCAGATTATGTGCGATTCATTGCAATTTGACTGGTTTTTGCTAGTACAAATAGCGGCTTTCTGGGAGCAGTAGTAGAAATATAAGGATTTTTCAGAAATCTTGCTTAGCTACGGGGACGGGGATGTGATATTGGTCCACAGACTGGTAGATTTTATCTAATGAGAAACAGATATGCGATCTGTATATTAATTAATTAGTGGAACGTAGTCATTTCTACTTAAAATCCTGTATACATGACGAAATTGCAGTATAGAGGCCGTGAAAATCATAGTGAAATTAAAAATTGTTTCATGCAACTTGTTGATTGGTTTTCTCAAATCAGTTTTTTGGAGAGTTTGGAACCGATTTCTCAGACTGTATAAGAGCTAGCGAGCTACTTTCTTTTAAATAAAAGAAGAAATCTGTATCTAGAAATGTATGTAGCGCTTTTTCGAAATTCGATTTGTTTGCCGAGATAACTGGATAAAACTGATGTCAAAAAGCACTAAATTCTGAGTTCTTGCAGTAGAATGTCTCGGAAATCCGAACAAAATCGAATTTCGAAAGAAAGCTACATACATTTCTAGACATAGGTTTCTTCTTTTATTTAAAAAAAAGTAGCTCTCTACGTCTTTGGCAGTTCGAAAAATCGGTACCTTACGAGAGCCACCACTTTGGGGACTAATTTGTCAATAACTCTTTACAGCAAAACATTTATGAGCCAAAAATTTGCAAGAAATTGAGTTAACACAACACCGACATTGCCTAAAAATTTCAGACAAAGCGGTCCACGAATAACGAAAAGCGATTCCTGAGGGGGGGGGCAGCCCCTTAACCGGTTATTTATTCGGTTAACCGTCGATTTTTACGCTGTAAAGTCGCTGAAATAGCTTACATAACCATGGTTAACCGGTGGTTTTCGGTTGGTTTGCGCGATACGGGAAAAGTCTTGGAACTTCATATAAAAATTTTATTTTCTCCCTTTTCTGCAAATCAAAAAATTCTCAAACTTGGGTAATATAATCGCTTGCAACTAGGTGAATACTATCCTAAATTTTCACACTTCTAGTTCTCACTTACAAAGAAGATTTATACACTCAAATAATAGTGCGGATCCTTTTTTTCCCGTGACGTGGTAAAGTTTGAATAGTTTTGATCTTCATTGAGGAAAAGAAAACGAATTGATTAATATAAAATAATATTGGGAGAATGATGATAAATAGAATTACTTTGAAAAATCAGTTAGATTTTCACGAACCTATTAAATCTGTAGAACAAGCTAGCAAAATGTCTGACATATGGCCCATTAAAAACGTATGGGCTTATATTAAAGAGAAATTAGAAGAAGAATTCAAAAATGTATCGTTATTAAAAAAAAAAAATTCTAACAATCTGGAACGCAATCACTTCGGTAATGTGTTCCAAACGGATCAACTCAATACCCAGACGACTACAAGCTTTGATTAAGCAAAGCGGCTATTCAATCAACAAAAAACACTATGGCAACGTATAAAAATATAATTTACTGTATTATTGATTGTTGTATTTATGATAAAAATTAACTATTCTAGATGTTTTTATCAATAAAAAGTTTACCATGTCACAGGGAAAAGATCCGCACTATTATTTGAGTGTATAAATCTTCTTTGTAAGTGAGAATTAGAAATATGAAAATTTAGGATAATATTCACCTAGTTGCAGGCTATTATATTACCCAAGTTTGAGAATTTTTTGATTTGCAGAGAGGAGAGAAAATAAAATTTTTATATGAAGTTCCAAGACTTTTGTATCACCCTTTATTATAAGAGCAAAATATCAAAACATTACTGGTATTATATTTTATTATCGTGTTCGAAGCAATTAAATCGTAAAAAAGCTTATTACATTTAAGAAAAGTGAGTAAACAAACATTTTTTGCAGTTAATGATGCTCGATGAGGACGCATAAGAAAACCGCTTTGAGCAAATACCCGTTCAATGGGAGCCGATGTCGCTGGCACTGGCAAGTATTTTAAACTAAGTTGATATAAACAAGAATGCAAATGTTTTTTTGATAAAATGTAAAATCGTATGAACAGCGCTATTAATGGGCAGTAAATAAAATAATTAAGAAAAGAGAATAGGAAGACTGAAATATGGTGACTACCATACGATTTTATATCGTACAAATTCTTATCAGCATATTTGCGTCAACCGCAACTGGCGGTCCGCAAAGAAAATATCAGTTGTGTTCTTCTTTCTTGAAGAAACCAAATTAGATGTTCTTTCTTTCTTTTTTTTTATAAAGATTGCGTTCACTAAAATTTTAAAAAATTCCGAGCACGAGTACCAGACCCCTCGAGTACGAGTATTTCGAGTATTTTGCCCAGCTCTGTTTTGGAGGGGAAACGGTGAAAATTCGGCATTAATAAGCAATTTTTGTCGATCGGAAGAAGAGACATGACCGGATCCCGTCAACTTTGAACCCTAAAGGATTTTACAACTCAAAAAATGATAAACGGCATTAGAGAAATATAGAACAAGGAACTCTAAATTCTCGAAGCTCACGGAGATTCCTCGAGCGTGGCCACATCTTTAGTCCTTTACTCAAGCCAACAACTTCACTCGCCAACACATCGTCTTCCAACGACGTTCTATTACTATGCCATATCAACACTTGTATATAGCTATACACCCATATTAGAAAGTAATTCTTTCACCACAATATACCTAGCAAAATGCTCACACCCACCCACACTCTAAGTACATATATCCGATATTAACACTGTTTGGTGAGATCCGACGAAAAGGCAATGAATGTTTTGGTAAAATACTGCCATAGTCTCGTTATTAGCGAAAGCCATAGTGTTGCCAATCTATTAGGTAGCGCAAATGTTATATATGAAAAATCAATAGCACGATATCTTTCAGACAGCTAATGATAGTTATAGTTATAGACAGCAAGCTTACTTGATGGAGAACCCTTGAAGTCGATCGTGTGCGACTCCGATACATTATGACGTGTCATATATTACCGACAACGGTATGTTTAAATAAACAGAAATTACAAGATTGCCATACAATGAATAATGGAAAGTACATATAGCTTGCAGTTATTTTTTCAAATAATTAATGCTTTAAGTTTTAAAGCGATGTCTATCCTATGCATAAAGGGAAAAATCCAGTGGCTCTACCATGTTAAAGTTTGTACGATGACGTATTATTCGCTTCAATTAAATCAAAATAGCTCTAGGCGCAATACCTGTGCGAATAAATTGGAACATATGACGCATACGACAACATTATGATTTCTGACGTGCTTCGCCATCTTAAGTTAGCCTTGATACGTAGAAATTTAATTAATAGATATTTCTTATAGTATGACAAGCCTGCATCGATATAAAATTTGTCACATATGTTGGAAAATCTAAACTTCTCTACCTTCATTTCCATATTCCTTTAAACTTATATTTTACAGAAAATTAAAATTGTGTATTTTTGTGCACACGCTGCAACCTAGATTAGAACGAGACATAAAAGTGCTGCGAATCTCATGACATAGAGGATAAAGTTAATGATCGCGAATACGTACAATTGACATAATACGATTAAACAACAAGCGTTTTTATTCATGATTGCATTTTAATAGACAATATAACAACCCGCGTGCAAAAAATATTTTCGTCGGTAATCTTAAACTTATGCATCAGTCATAGATCAGTATTAATACGTTGTTTCTGTAAATGATGTCCAATTATACTGACTCAAATCAATTACACACTGACTATTGTCCCATTTCGCAACTGAAAAGAAGCATAGCATAAATTATCACTATGAGAACAAAAAACAAGCTGAAGCATTGGCAACCATATCTATCTAGATAAAAATCTTCATTATACGAATGACTCAATCTTACTCGTACTTTTTCTATTACTAGTTCCTTTCGGTTTGACTCATTTGTGTATTAATAATAGTTACCATCTTTTTATGACGACTATAAATAGTATAGTAAAATTACGAATTTTACTCTATACAATAGTTAGATTTATAAATAAATCGGTTAAAATGGGACATCATACGTAATGTTTTCTCATAGACTGAGCCACGTGTTTAGATGTCTTCGTATTAATATAGGAGAAATGATAATCACAGCATGACGAATATCATAATTTCAATGCGATGAATTATCGTAACTCAAAACTAACAGATTCTACTAGAATTATACAACTAATTTCGAAATCATAACTCAGCCATTTCTATTTACCTGTTGAAACATCGAAGGTTCCAGACACTAACTGCAACCAAGAGTTTGTTGGAAGAATGACAGAAAACCACTAAATACGTCATGAAAAAAAAATTGCCAACGGTAATTTCCAAATACAAAACAGTCACGTTGCAATCGTTCGAAGTCGATGCATTGCAGCGTACCATTGTCTTCTGTTTTCATATTTACTTCATACTTTCTTGGAAAATTATCGACAGAATGAAAAAAAAAGGAAAGAAATAAAAGGCTCGTGTCGCGACATACAGCTGGTTATTCGCTATAACAGTAGTTGACACAATATTATATATTCGAAACGAATTCTCATACCAATTATCAACAGAAATAAACTTTCAAACATAATTTTCGCCAGCGAAAGTATGTCTGAAACGTATCCAGAAGCAAAACGATTCAGATCAGGTAAAATAAACCTCTCAGATTTGAAGAACTATTACTGATCTCGATTAATTTCAGGCGCATCGGCAAGTACTACACTTACAAATTCAGTGAATCTATACGATGACGCTAATTTTCTGACAAAATATATTAATGTGAATGATAATGTTCTACGGCTATTGCTATCAGGTCGAGTCATAAATGGTTCTTTTTCAGAATTATTTCAACGAAGGTAAGAGCATTGTTAATCAATATCTTAAAATTAATTCAATTCGTTTTAGTCGAGAAATCGGTTGGATGGAAGTATTCGTTGAAGAAAGACAGAAATTGAAGTTACAAGAGAAATTGAAATCAAGACGAATTATGCTCAATAGATTGATTGATGAATGTTTGCAAGTATTTGTCGGAAGCAAAAGCATGACATAGAAACAATAGAGGGACTTTTATCAACAATAGTTTGATATTTCTTGAAACCAATAGACAATTCTTTCCGGAGAAGTTTTCGAAGTAGTCAAGGATGAAAATTTCAGTGCTGTACTATATCTCTTTCGTTTCGTTCGTAAACGCTGCAAATGATCACGTTAGAAACATGTTTTCTAGCGCACTCAAACTGCCATCATTTAAATAAGACAACAAAAAGAACTGTATGATAAAAGCATGAGATGCCTAATTCGAATTCGAATATAAATGAAGTTTCAACTGCATAAAGTTACTTCGAAAATAAATAAAAATTCAACCAGCACTTCCATTCGACAACAGGAAAATAGGAAAACTAGGGGAAGTATTTTTTTCGAATTCGAATTATAATTTTCATATACACTTTCCTCTCAGAATAGGAAAATAGAACAACTTTTTTTCTTGAGGGTGAGGGTGTGGGTGTGTCATAGATGTCATAATACCGTTACATTGAGTATCGTGATTTCCAAGTCATCATACCTATCGAATTCTTTTTGGGGTATTACCCCTAGGGTATCGACTTCGAGGGTGTGGGTGTGGGTGTGTGGGGGTATATAATCAAGACACACACCCACCCGCTCACCCTCAAGAAAAAAAAGTTTTCCTATTTTCCTATTCTAATATGAAAGTATAGCAGAAAGTTAATGTTTTTCTTTGGATGGATCGGAGCTGATGAAAATTTTGGAAAATTTCGCTTATATTCGAACTCGAATTAGGCAGCTACTCGATAAAAGTGCCTTATAATCTCTACGCTAGTTGTTAATATCAATTATCAACATCTTCTGTTTTTATCTATAGGATACTGGTGGTTTTGAAAAAAAAGTGCAAGCATTGAACGAAGAAATCAGTAGTCATGTATTCGCTAAATTACCAACACAAAAACAATTTGGTATCTATTTTCCGACAACAAATCATGTATATGAATACATCGAAGAATGGAAACAACGGCAATGTCAACGCCGTTTATTTTACAGAGAATGCAATACACTCCCTACCTTGCTCATATTACAACACCAGTAAACTATTTGTTCCTATGGATTGCAATTTCGTAATATTTTCTATTTCTAGAATGACAAATCAATTTCTCAAACTGTTTAATATGCTTAATTACGACGCAAACTTTTTGAAATCAGATGGCAAAGAAGCTTTCGCAGAACTGTTTCGTTAGCAAGTGTTGTTATTTTTAACTATTAAATCTTCTAGTCTACATCTCTAATAGTTCATTTATCATCGTGGCACAACCATCGGGTACTGATTGTGTAGCAGCAACAAAATATGAAAAAGTTGGGCAAGATTTCTTAGCAAAAATCAAGACAAGAATTTTATGTCTACTAGATTTAAAGAAAATTCGAAGCTGTTTGCAATATTCTCACATTGGTAAGTTTGCGTTTCGAGAAACAACAAAAGAAAAGTTTTCTATATATTTATTTTCGTTATTTTTAGATGTTGTACTCTATCCAACGGGTGGTGATATTGGTCTTGAGCGCGATATCCAAGCACCAATTCAATGGAAATCACGAACGATAATCACTAGTGACAAAGAAGAACAAACATTTTTCTATGCTGAATTAGCTGAGAATGATTCTATCAAACTGACAAGAAAAGATTCTCGACAGAAACCATTGTATAATAGTAAATTATGTCAATTGGAATTTCGAATCACACTTAATGTATGTTCATAGTTTTTTCTCTCTATAGATATAATTAGAAAATGTTTTCTATATTTAAATAGCTAGTTGGACATGATGTCGAATCACTTTTAATACTAAATTCACAATCATTTGGGCTATGTTCGCATCCAAAATATTATCCCAAACATCTAGCTAAAGTTGTAATCGAAGAAGTAAACCAATGGCAGCGGCATGTAAGCAACATGAATTTTACTAGAGTATTTTAATTAGTTGTTTTTCTTTTAGGTTAATCTTGATACTCATATCACCACTTTGATTGGATACATAAGCCAGCTTTATCAACGAATTACGGGAGTTGAAGCAAAACGTCATACGTTGAAGGTCATTGAAGAAGAATTACTTGAAGTTTTTAACTCACACTCAACGGTTTCACGTTCATCTACTGAGCCCCAGGTGATATATCCTTGGGGAATTTATCAAGTAATTTAGTATTTCTCTGATGATTTCTTTCTAATTTTTACTATTTAGGACATTCTAGAGCGGTTAATTGCTCAAATTAAATTTATAGGGACGAATCCTTTCCTCGCCATGATGTATCACGACAGGTTTCTATTTATACTTGTTCTTTTAAATTTCTACTGGACTTTTCATATATTCTTTTTATAGTTTATTCTATGGTATTTGCAATGATAAAGTTGATGCAAAAATCGCTAACGGTACTGCGCAAGCGCCTCAGATAATAATGCGATTTGAACAATTCAAAACACAAGATGCTCAAAAGCATCCAAAAATTATTTTTGCAGTTAAAGCTGGTCTGTAGAGAATTCAAATTGAAAATATCCATTGGCAATAGTAAATTTTTCGTTTAGGTATATTACTGAGAGCGCGTACTAGCCATGAAACTTTGATTGATGATATTTGCCGATGTATTGATAAAGCTGGCAAGAACGAACAAAACCAATCACAGATATTCACTGAAGAAGAACTTATTCCGTTTAGGCAATTTCGGCGCTATTATGGTAAGCGTCTTGTGAGTACTATTGAATGATATTTTCATTTTTTCTTATTAGATAAAGATTTGAATCGTGATAATTTAATTCAAATCGATGAACAAACCATATTCCATCCATTAAGTACTATTCTTCAACATGCCATGTAATGAAAAACAAAGTTGTGATATGTTGCCCCTAGTCAACTCTCCCTAAAAGAATCCCCAGAGAGTCCCCTGACAAATCTCCGGGGACTCACGACAGGGAGTCCCTAGGAATTTCGTTATTTTGCGGGGACTCCCCGAGGAGTCGTCGGGAGAGAGTAGATTAGGGTATAGATGTACATCTTTTTTTAAATAAATAGTAAATGATAACGAATTAGATCATCTTTGAATTTCGTAAAATTATTTTTAAAAGAAAGTTTTTGTTTTTATTGTTGACTTCCATTTTTTTGTTGAAAATTTTAGATAAAATGGTTGTGACAGGAACCGAAGATCTATTGGATTGAACTCAACATAATCGGTATGTCTTATTTTTTTGCAAAAAAAAACAAAAATATTCCATTCCTTTGCAAATCATTCGACGTATACGAACTTCTTGATAGACTTTTCGATAGTATCAAAAAGCGAAACATTGTCTACACAACAGCTGGTATCGAGGGTGTGCATGAGTCCAAAGACAGTAAATTTTTGAAACAAAAAATTTGTATAGCCATCAGAGACCGAAATCGAATCGAATTGCCGAATAATTCGATTCGATTCGATTCGTCTGGGGCGAATCGAATTGATTCCGAATGGAACTTCAAAACTACCGAATCGAATCGAATGAATAAAAAAATAATTGAAAAAAAGCCGAATCGAATCGATTCGTTTTTTTTCAGTTTCATTCGGCTATTGAAAATCATTTTCTTTGTTCTGGTGTTATGGTCGATGGCAGTTGACTAGTATAAGAGATGACGCATGAAAAAGGACGTCCACTGTTTCTCTTTCTTTGTTTCTGTCAGTCGTGCTTATTTAATGGTCATCCCTGTTCTGTTCATATCGTTATCATGGTCAAGTGCNTATTTTGTAAACCCAATTTGAGTCGAATCGAATCGAATCGAATTGATTTTTTTCGTGTTTTTAGCCGAATCGAATCGAATTACAATTTTAAAAAGACCAGAAAATCCGAATCGAATCGAATGGCACTTTTGTCATCGGTTTCGGTCTCTGATAGCCATTATTTGAAGAAACTATAGTATTAAAATTAAGAAAACATGTGCTTTACTTTCAGAGCATAAATTAAGACAACACACTTGCCGTTTTCGGCGACTGCTACTCGGCAATGCACGAAAGAAAGACATATTGTTTGCGAGCTATTCGCATCTCTGTTTTTTCGTTTTTCGCATTTATAATTATTATTCATTCTCAACGTGTATTTGCAGTCGATACAACTGCCAGCAAAAGACCGCAATTTATTTATATTGCGTCGTATAAAAATTAAATTATACAAAACAAAAGAAAAAGAGACGCAACTAGTTGTAAACTTAAAGAAAACCCACAGGACTTATTGGCATGACAGCGGAGAAGAAAAATATAAAGCAAGCATCGAAACGATCTGGTATGTTTCTATATAAACAAGATTTTTGTTCTTTTGCAATTATTCATTTATAGCATTACATTCTCCGATTGACACGGATCAGATCAATAATTATGTTGTAAAGAATGCAGTTGATTGGTCAGATGATTATGAGTTTCTGTCGCCCAATGAAATATTCATGAATTCTATAGGTCTCATATTCAATTTAACTTCAAAACGCTTGATTCAAACGCCTTTTCTAAATCTTTATAAACGAAGGTATGACATGAAATTTTTAATATTCTATTTTGAATCGTCTAATGTTTAGTTTAAAACTTACATGGGTGAATTTATTGGTCCGTGAACGATGCAATTTAAAATCAAATGCCAATTCAGTAGAAAAATGTTTTATACTTAATCGACTCATTACGGAATGTGGAAAGGTATTAAACGAATTTGTAGATCTCAACCGTTTTCATGATCTACGAAAAATTCAAGAGATAATCATCATGCACCAATTAATTGTCTTTTCTTGCAGGATCCCTTTCAATTCGCTCGACAAACCGGAGAATTATATGAAGAAATTAAAATGAGAATATCGGCTAAAGTATTGCCAGCGTCTTGGGTAATTTCCATTGAATAGATCTAGATGAAGATATTGAGTACTTGTTATGTTAAGACTTTTGAGGATATTATTAATCAAGTACAACTTTGGCGAACTGTACAATCTCAACGACGTTTATTTTATGTTAGTCATTCAGAAGCAAAACAACCTCATAGTCTACTTACGTTGCAATGCATGTAAGATTTTCATCATCATGATTCTAATTGATACTATGAATTTCATTTTTCTAGCATTACGCCAATGTATTCTCATCTCCTAAGATCTTATCAAAATAATCCTAACAATGAAAACTATAATTACTTACGACAACTTTTAGAAAAGTTAGAAATTATCTATGTTTCTCTTTTTTTTCTTTTATAAAAATCGTTTTTCTCGAATTTTTATAGTTGTTTTATTATCATCACTCAACCATCGATTCCCGAGTGTGTTGCAGCAACTAAATATGACAAATCTGAGAACAGATATTTAGCTAAATTACATTCTCGTGTTTTATGTCTATTAGATCCGAATACGGTTGATGATAGTTTACAATTGTTCGACGTTGGTAAGAATAACTATTTGGTATTGACAAGATTTTGACTTTGAAAGTAGGTGTTACACTTTTTCCATCTGCTCGTAACGCCGATTTATGCGGAGAAAGACAAGAAGAACTTAAATGGCATAAAAGACAAATACTCGACACTGAAAACATACTGAGATCATTTCTCTATGTTGAACTTCAAGCAATTGAATTAATACAAACGGATCGAACAAATTCGAAACCTTTATATAACTCTAAAATGTTTCAAATAGAATTCGAAATTAAAATTAGAGTAAGTCGACGATTTGCTTCTTAAAAGATTTCTGATTTTTATTTTTAAATAGATAAATGTACTCAGTGTTGTCGAAACCGTTCGACTAAATTCGCAAAATTTTGGCATTTGTTCACATGCTCAATATTATCCAGACTACGTTGCTCAAGTTCTTCTATATGAAGTTGCGCAAACATTAGAACCTGTATGAAATAGTAATCATTGGAGTCTATGCTACGCTTTTTCTTTTAGAAAGACTCACTGATTCAACCAAATGTTCTCACGGAGTATATTAATCGATATTTTATGCGGATATCAGGTGTTGCACTAAAAATTTATACTGCGCAATATATTACTGAGATTTTACAAATAGCTTATGGTTGATTACATCAATAAATTTCTAGAATTCGTAATATATTTAAATTTATTTTAGAAGAAAAAGCAAGAACTAATCATAGCACATCCGCGGAAATCTATCAAGTAACGCTTATTCTTTTTGTAGTAGATATTACAAATAATAGTGAAGACATGAGCATTTTTTCTGAGCCATCGCAGATTTCAACATTGCTAAAGTTTAGATGTCTCGCTTAGATCGGCACAGGACCAAAGCAACATATAATGCCAAGAATAAATCCTATAGAAAGAAAATTTCTTGAAGCTTTTCCTAGTCATGAAATCAAATGCATTCGCTAAAATCGGTTTTTTTGACATATTAAATAATTACATGATTATTAACCTCATTTTTATTCAAAGGGGATTGTAGCAAAATTAATTAGTCAAATGGAAACGTTCACTGATTATCCATTTCTTTCAATGATGTATCATGATGGGTAACATGCCTTATCTCTACTCATTCCTATTTGTATACAATTTATTTACAGCTTATTTCTTAGTATCTGTGACAAGGCCTTAGATCAACAACTGCATGGCACTCGGCAGCAACCACACATATTAATTCGTTTCAATTCACTGACAGAACATCAATCGGTTCAAAGTGCATCTATAAAATTTATTGTTCATAATGGTTGATATAGATTGTGAAATTTTCGTTTTTCAATTTTGAACGCAACGATCGATTTGTTTAGGTCAATTGACAAGAGCTGTATTTCATTCGAAAGCATTTATAGATGAAATGTGCGAAATGATTTGTAAAGCGAGCTCATGCAAAAATATAAATATGAACTTTCAACTCGAAGTAACAAATCGTAAATTTCATGAATTTAGTTTGTATTTTGGCGAGTAATGTTGTTTTATTACATGCATGGGTTATTGAGTATTTTTAAAATATAGACAGCGAATTGTATCGACTCAGTTCCAGTGTATCGCAAGTCAACGGCGCTTATCAACCATTGATACCTGTTCTTTGGGATATGGTGTAAATTTCCATTTCATTTTTTTAAAATACCTTTCGTTGTTGTTTTTCAGGAGAATAAGTGCTGGAGAACAACCAAAACAAAATGAAGAGCAACTCGGTAACGATAAAATTGGTTTTTTCAATGCGCCTAAAGTGGAGTAGAGAAAAAAACAGTTTCGTTAAAGTTAAAAGAAAGAAAAAATGTGGACCACAGGTTGCATACCTTGACATAGTTTCCTATGATGAAAGTGTCTTCTCAGGAACTCTTATGCGCAGACTTAGAGCAAAGGAGAAGGCTTCTAGAAGTATTTTTCTGAATTCTTTTCAAATCACTTTGCAAACAGATTGAACTGATTCAGGCAAGTCTTGAACAAAATAAGAATTCTTGGAGCCATCTCTAGGCAACGAAAAAGTCTTTATATGATTCATCTAAAAAGTTGTTGTCAATGTCTTTTCATGAGTGCAGACCATAGAGCACGTTGAACTTTTGTTCGAGCTGAACGATAGCATCCAAAAATCTATTTATATTTCCTCTTCTAGCGAACTCATTTTCATTTGATACAATACCTAAACCAGTGGATGTATCTCAGTCAAGTAACTGTTCAACGGATTTTATTCCAAGTAAGCTGTAAAAGAATATCTGTAGGATTTCTCTTTCGAATGTGAATGGATATATCTAATCATCGTTTCCTAGACGAAGTGGCCGATTTTCTGATGAATACTTCAACTGAAAATATACCATCCACTTCGAAGAGTATTGCAAGAGTAAATGCACTTTTATCCACAATGCCTACTGGAGAAACGCAACAACGAAAGGAAATTGTAATGCATTTATTGCGTGATTGTTTTCAACCTAAAACATATGCTGAGGCTGCCACACAAGTAATTAACGACATTAGAATATAAATTTTCCGTTGTTCTCTTTTTCTAGACTTCACCATTTGATTCAAATAGTACATTCGATCATATGCTCGATGATATCTAACTTTGCAACTCTTAGTTGACTTTTCAGTTTATAAATATCGTAACGACGATCGTAAATATGATTGATTAATTTATTTTTCATTACATGAATATAATCCGATATATCTCATGAATAAATGAGAAGACTTTCATAACTAACGCATTGGCCACGGTTATACTCTACCTCATCAGCAGATGTTAGTTTCAGTCAACACAAGTTTTGTTTTCAAAAATGAAGTTCATTCACTTCTGTGCCTTATAAAACAAAATAACCTTGCTCTCGGCGACTATGAAACTCATCTAATATATATATATTCAACGGAAACAATTAATTGTTCTTCGAGAAGCAAAAAGAAAATAGTTGTTATCGTCCTTCTTTTAGCAGTAAAATAATTTACCAGCTATTCACTCTCAAGGTCCTTCTCAATAACTACTTTTTTCTATCCAATCTTATGTTTACTTAAGATGCAAGCAATTCAAACTTCGAGTGCAATTTATTTTTCGTCTTTTTTCACATGATTTGATAGAGCGTGAGTTGCTGATCACGAAAGTCTACTTTTTAATCTTAACAAATGCTTTCTTACGGTCGAAAATTATGCAATATTGGAAGAGTGCCGTTTGTTTAAAGAAAAACAGATCTTTTTCAAAATACGTAAAACTTTCTGGTGAATTCTGTTTTTTAGCTCTTGAAACTATTTGTTTCAGATTCAGCATTAAAGATTGACTATAAAGAAGTTCTTAAATCGACTCTAGACCCAAAATTTTGTTGGCGGTGACATTTCAAATCACGCCCAATGCACTAACGATTCGTCGATTTTGTAAGTCTATCTAGGTTTTCTATGTAAGTGATGGAGTCAAATATTTTATCGTATTCGATTTATCATATTACCAGCCATAAAAGTTACAGACCACGTTTTTTTCTCTTGTCTTTCCTATGTTGAGGAAATACGTTTTTACTGGTAAGATAGAATATGATAGGATAAACGGGAAGGTCATGTTTGAATAAACTATCTGTTTTTTATTCGAATCTAGTAAAACTCTACTCAGATACGTAAAAAGTTCTGACGAATCGAATGGACATCTTTTCAGGATCTTCAGAAGGCCACTGGAAATCCTTCTCTGGCAAAACATCGTTTTCCGATATTATTCGGTCTTCTTTTTTATATCTTTAATGGACAGATTAATCACTCTTTATGTTTGACTTTATATTATGAATGAAGACATGCATAATGAAAACGTTCAAATAGAAAAAAATTTCATTAGTCTTCGTCTATATTCGTATTGATATTCTACGATGTGATTGAACTGATCTTTTGTACAGTTGACTGAAGAACAATTTTAATACATCAGCAATGTCAGTTAACATAAGTTTCTCATTAAAATTGAATTCTTTATCATCAATATCCATCGTATATTCATCATTTGACGAATCGCTTGAAGACAAAGCCTTCACATTTGACTCACGACAAGTACTTGCAGCATGCAATTGACTTTTCCTTTTATTTTCTTTAGGCATACCAAACTAACTTAGTCAAGCTTTAAAAAAATATCTTAAACAAAGACGCCTGGTTTTATTGCTGTTGATTTACTATGGCTTTTCCCAGAGAAGGATTTCCAGTGGCCTTCTGAAGATCCTAAAAATATGTCCATTCGATTCGTCAGAACTTTTTACGTATCTGAGTGGAGTTTTACTAGATTTGAATAAAAAACAGATAGTTTATTCAAACATGACCTTCCCGTTTATCCTATCATGTTCTATCTTACCAGTAAAATCGAATTTCCTCAACATAGGAAAGACAAGAGAAAAAACGTGGCCTGTAACTTTTATGGCTGGTGATATGATAAATCGA